TGGCTGAGACATCGGCTCTTCATCCCCTCCAAACCCTTGACCTACTCCCCACATGTAACCTTCGGCTGGTAAAAGTTGCAAATCAGACTCTTGGGAGAAAATCATGGGACAAAACGCCTCTAACCACTGAGGCCGTTGCGCCGGTGGTAAAGTCCCGCGGCACAAGAACCCGGCAGCGTTAATGACGCATGAGGTTGGATCTAGCCGGACCACCCCAAGTTCACAGGAGCGTTCCAGGAGCTCCTCGTTAAAAGTTAGTAGCTCGAACAGAAACTTTTTGTAACCCCCGCCTAAGGCTGCCCAATTCCAGGACGGCAGGTCGGGGAGATCATGCTCGTGCGGCTGGTCAGGGTCCTGGGGGTAGTAGTCCGTCCGCAACCAGATCAGCTGTTTTCCCAGGTCTTTCTTCCAGACACCATTAGTGAACTCATCTGAACGCCTTTTCCCCATCTCGCTTGCAATTCCCAGTATGGCCGGAATACGGTCGGTGTTGAACGTTAGCTGGCGCCTTGAATACTGTTCAAGGAGTTCAAACCATTGGGAGGTGGAGGTTGGATCATCAATCAAACAAAATTCCAAGCGGACGTCCGCAAAGCCCTGCATTTCGTCCGTGCTGTCGACTTTGCAGGTGAAAGTAATTCCGCCAGGCATAAAAAGGACCAGCCTCCGGGCAAGGTCTTTATAGGCCAAAACGGAAACTCATTGTCAGCAATTAAGACAAGATTCATACCGGGGGGGAGGGGGGGGGGGGACTCACGCCATTCCTGTGTGGCCCATGCCCGCTTGGCTAAAGGTCCGAATGTTGGGTTGTTGTCCAGGTTGTTGCAAATTGTCAAGTTAAAACTACCCAAGTCCTTGCTGTCAGGGGAGTAGTAAGGCACACGGATTGAACGATCAGGGTATCTGGGAATGTTGAATAGTCCTTGGGTTGAGTCGAAAGATCCTGCCGCAGCAATGACCAGAAACGCCTGCTCGTAGATTTGACCCATCGTTTTGGATTCTTTTTCCCAGTCCAGCTTGTCATCCTGGACTATGCACAGGCTGTCGATCCAGAGGTATTCAATTCTCAAAGCCCGGGTCAGGGCGATCGCCTCCTGGAATGTCCGGGGCAGTTCAACGATGGAGATTCCAGACATAACGCGATGGAGGTTGTCCTTGGTGGTTCTGAAGGGCTCCTTTCCTGTTGTGCCCCAACAATGGCTCAGGGCGCAATACCTTCCAACCAGTTCCCCGGGCTCGACAACAGCGACAAAATCGTGGCCCTGTCGAGGGTTGAGGTTGAGAATTCGAGTCGGTAAGCTTGTGCCAGCACGGTCGTCCAAGGTTTCACCAGCCAATGTGGTGCAACACATAGGGTGGCAGGACAAGCAGTCATCAAGCCAAGGCTGCAAGAGCACATTAACAATGTTTTCCGGCTCGTTGTTGACAAGTGGCTTTCGTCCAACAATTGTGCCACTTGTTGCAGCTGGTGTTCCTGTCCAACAAAGTTCGCCGCATTCATTAGCCCCTTTCCAGCGTCAATCACAATGTGGAAAGACTCTACTGTACCTGGATCAGCCCATACTGCAAGACGCAGTCGGGGTAAATCCTCACTCCCTCTCGTCCTATCAATCCACATCGAGGTGAAAGGCTTGCGCCAAAGGTGCTCCTTGGTACCCCCCGGTCCAATTGTGGTTTTATCTCCCTGGCGACGGAGGTACACCGTTTGACTGTCATAGTGGCGCCACTTCTCCACGTCCCCCTTCTCCACAAATGTTTCGCCATATTCGAACAGCAACTGGCACAAGATGCAGGTTGTGGCCTCCTTCTCAGCGGAAGAGCTGGTAAACCTCGGGTACCTCTCATTCGGGTCTGTCAGATCTGAGACAGCTTCGACGATAGGACGGCAAACTCCACACAATATGTCCATGGTGACCGTCAGGACTGGAATGAAACAGCAGGCCTGGAAGGTGTGGAGGTAAATGGGGTTTCCCAGAATTGCAACAAAAGACAGCTCCTTGGGGGCACAGGGAGGGTCATCTCAAGTGCCTTGAGGAAGAAAGTCAAAATCCCGCACGCGTAGGCAACGAGATGCACAGCCACAGGATTCCATTTGCACGTGTTCCAGAGCTTTATCCAATTAACCGGTGCTTCTCGGGTGCTGACTCCCACTCGCAAAGGCGGCTAGAAGGCGCGACCCAACAATGCAATCACCCCACAATGCACATTGTGATCTGCATCACCAATTTCCCACCCCTTCATTTCAAACCACCACCATTCCACCATTTTTGCTCCAAACAACACCAAATTCACCATGGCTACTGTGAAGGAGCAGAATATTCTGAATGCAATTTCAGCGGTTCAAAATGGCGTTTCGCAGAAGGTTGCAGCCAAAGACTATTCAGTCCACCCGTCAACCCTCAGCCGCCGGCTCCGTGGCGCCACATCGCACAAAGCATCCAAAATAAAGGCCCAGAAGCTCTCCCCAACGCAGGAGAGCTTCCTGGTGGACTGGTGCCTAAATCAGGAGGCCGCTGGCCGCGTGCCTAAAGCCCAGGTCGCATGTATAGCTTAAGAAATCCTCTGGCATAACGGCATCATCACCACCATAGGCCAACGTTAGCCAGACCGCTTTTTACAACGCCACAATCGACTTCACACCAAGAGATCGGTATTGTTAGAAAGAGAAAGAGTTCGCGGTTCGACTAAGGCCAAGTACAAACGTTTCTTCCATTTTTTAGGCGAGAACTTACGTGATAAAGATATCAAGCTATGTAACGTCAGCAATATAGATAAGCACGGTATATAGGAGACCGAAACAGCTGCCGGAACTGTAATAGGGGACTCTTTTTCAGACTAAGTGGTAGTTACAGGGCCTGACAGCATTATATAGGTCTTGGTAATCGAGGTAGTTACTGCTAAAGGCTGTAGGCTTATACCAAGTATTATATTTACCGGTGCTTTACTACAGGGCTAATTGTCACGAGAATAGGCAGAAAGTTCGAAGTTATCTCGGCTATTATTGTGCGATCCTAGTATGAAGAGAGAAAGGAAGAGAATCCAGAGCCAGAGCCCTGGCTCTGGAATCGTATGTCAACAATGCCCCTCTTTCCGGATTGGGCCTAGTCTGCTCAATGGTGGGGTTGGTTCCGTTGGTGCCTGGCACCTCAAGGAACCAGCAACTCCCACGGGGTCTGCCAGCTGCCACTGGTCTGCCAGGTGGCCAGGTGGCCAGGTGGCCAGGCCACGTGACTCTAATAGTACCCCCCTTTTCTCAAGCGGTAAAAGGACCTTTACAATTAAAAGTATAAGTACTCTTTTATAGGATAAAGTAACGCCAGAATCGCTATTAAGTGGTTAAAGGGAGTTTATCTTCCTGAAATAAAGCTGGTAAATGCTAACGAATAGAGGTGTCGTAGACAGCGGAGTCACAGGACCGTAGTCACGTGACTCCAGAGCTCCGAGCCCTCCCTAAGAGGGCTGCAGGAGTCTGGCCATCGCCAGACTCCTGCAAGAACATCATCATAGCCAGTATTACATCATTCCATTCACCACTCTGCAGCCATTCTAGCCTCGAGACCGTGATGACCACGCTCTAGGCTTCCACTCCGCGACCTTCATCGTCGCCTTCCAGGCTTCCTCGCCCTCGAAGCTCTCCCAGCTTCCAGCCCGCACGGCTTCCCAGACTCCCTCGCCCTTCAGGCTCCGGAGCCTCCATTCTTCCACGCCCGCGTCCTAGCTTCCACTGCTTCCCGAGTCAGCAGCACTTACGACAAGAGGTTATTAATACTTAACAAACACAGCACCTACAAGAGTGACGAGTTTATGTATTTATGTTAGGAGAACTGTGTTTAACTACTTTATCTTCCTATTTACAGCTCTTATAAGTCACAGCCACTTAATAGGAGCGTTTTCTCACCCCTTAAAACTTACTTCCGCTAAGGAACAAAGTCCCTGGCTAACTATAAAGCGTTAGCACCAGCTAACAAATAACGATTCCTACTCTGTTACAGGGAGGTATTACGACTTAGCTGTAATGTTTCTAATATACGTAGTAGCTTTAGAAAGACCGGCATATGGCCTTTTAAACCGTTAGCGATACTGGATAACCCTGAAGCATTAATTAGGGATGCCCCCCCTCCTTAGGCACACACCCCTACCCCCCCGGTTACTACCATTAACAAACCATCGCTTTTCACCACTCCTAAAGGGTCCCATAATGTTTATCAGATCTTAAAGAGTCTTAAGGGAAATCTCTCTCCCAGTAAAAGGGGCGTCAGGGCTCTCTTTCACAAGGTTGAGAAAGCTCTGGATGCAGGGGCTGCAGAGAGGGCCATGCTGATTGCTGAAAATAATCGATTAATCGAAGACCAACGCGCTACACGGCCCCATACCAAAAGGAAGGTACGCGAGCCACCCAACGATAAATTCGCTCGAATACAGGATATCGTGGAGGCCGAGAAACAGACTCACAACCCCCCCAAGCGAAGGAGGGCCGGCGGTCAGCCTACGGCGGAGCCAGTGGTCGAGGAGGCGCAGGAAATGATAATCCACGGCCTGGATAGAATCAGGAGGGCCGAGGAAATGCAGTGAACATTTTGTACGGTATAAATATACTAGGAAATGGATGTTTTGAGCATTGGGAGTTTGGGGGTGGATGGTGTGGGTCCATTGCATTGTGGGGTGATTGCATTGTTGGGTCGCGCCTTCTAGGCATTCATCTCTAAGGGTGAGGTGCTCGGACGGGAACAAGGAGCGAGATGATGACAGAGAAGAATATAGATTACCTGGAGGAACTCTCTGCACTGGCATCTCTAAGTGCACCCCTAGCAAAGCCTCAACTAACTGCGGTGGGGCTCTTTACAAAGGGGCAGATACCAGCTGCGAGTGCCTAACAAGCCACTCACACCACAGGCATTTAACACCACAACTCCTGTGAAGAGAAACAAACCAACTCAGCTTCACTGCAAATGATGTAGCCAAGTGCAGGCTAGTCTGTAAAAGGCAAAAAAAAAAAGAAACGACGGTGATGGGACTCGAACCCACAACCTCAGTCTGGTTAATCCTTCTTGTTAGGAGGACCACACGATACCATTTCGCCACACCGCCGATGATTGGATATATTTGAAACATCAGTACAGCTGCTTAAGTAGCAGGGTATTCGGAACCCCAATTCTGAATCAGAGGTTGACCACGGAACAGTGAAGCCATGGAATGCCCAGACACGAACCTACAACGTCGAGAATGAATCGCATCTTGTATTTTTTTACATGTGTAGCCTGGGGAGTGCTGTCCTTGACGAAAAGGCGGCATGTCATTTCGCAGAGGACTCTGCATCGTGTCCGGGAGGGCTTGCCATGACCTTCGCATGCATTCTTGTTGAAGACCTGGATGGTTCCAGCGACCACTCACCACTAGATAACATGTTGACTAGCCCTGTGTGTTGATTTGAGCAGTCAATATTGGACTCCTCAATCACTTATCATCCCACAATCCTTTGTGACTTTTACGATGCGTCAAGGCCAGCGACAAGGAGAACTGTGTGGAACAACAATGCCTTGATGCTCAGCCAACAAGATGTTGTTCTTTGTTCGGTTCGGGCCGCGACATAACCATCTTACAATTGGGAACGTATAAACATCTTGTCAGACACACTTGCATATGTCTTTCATCAAAATCCTGCCGACATTCTGTCGGTCTTAGACACCGCAACACCACCAACAAACAACATCCCGGATCTGGGCTTTCTGCGTGTCTTGTTATCGAACAAGATGTCTCATCCCGGAGGTCATCCGCGCCAGGACGACCTCGACACTGAGGATGTAATTCTAGCCCTCGCCATTCAAGAGTCGCTGGTGCTGGCGAACCGAACCGAACCACCCTCCCGTCCACCTCAACTCACCCCCACATCAACCTCTCAACCTCCAGCGACCACCGAAACCATCCAGGAAACCATCGAGGAAACCGTCTGGGCCAACATCGAAAAATACATCCAGACTCCCCGCGGCCCACAGCCCATCGTCACCTGCGCCATCTGCCGAAACGAACTCATCATCCCCGGTCTCCAGGAAGAAAACGGCGAGCGCGAAGCCATGCGAAAACTTCCCTGCGGACACGTCCTTGGTAAAGACTGCGCAGAACAGTGGATCGAGACGAGGATCACCGATCACTCGTTGGACGACAACACACCGCAATGTCCCTTTTGCAGGGCGCCGATCATCAGCGAAGGAGAGGTACAGAGACGGGGTGGTTGGGTCCCAGGGCAGTATCGTATGGAAGGTCAGGGGCTCGATTCAGGGGTTGAGCAAAGGGGTGGGGAGGGTGAGGGGAGGGGGATATACTTTGATGGGGAGAGGGGGTATGCGAATTTCCCGCCAACAGAGAGGGAAAGGGAGTCGGATCGGCGTCGTCAACCACAGGAGCGGGTATCAATCATGGGATCTGTTATTGGGCTTGGGCCGGAGAGGGTTCCGACAAGTGGAAGTTCCGCGCGCCGTCAGACACGGAGAGAGGAGCGGAGAGAAGTGCGGCCTCGGACTTCCGGGGCTCATGGTGATGTCCGTGAGGTCAGCCATCCAAGCGAGAGTCGCCAGCAGTCATCGGAACCGAGGGCGCCGAACTACCCATCTGGATCCAACTTTAACAGAGAAGGCCGGTGGGTTGGAGAATGGCCTCCTCGGAACGGTCTTCAACCAAGTCGGAGTCAATACCCTTCTGGACCCTACCCGCAACACGAACGAGCTCAGGGTCACTTCCAGGGGTCGCAATGGGTTGGGCCGTGGCCCCCTAGTAGAGATGTCTCGTCACCGAATCCTACCCCACATGTCTCCGCAGGCTCTCACATTCAAGAAGCTCGCCACCCATCAGAGTCTAACCGAGGCTCGGAATACGGCTCCTACACGTCTCACAGCTCGGCCTCTCCAACCAGCTCATCCAGTAGCGGGTCTAGCCGTGGCTACGACGTGGTTGATGCGCACCATCCATATGAGAGGTAAGTTCAAGTCCGAGTTCCCGTTGATCTAATATCTGCATTGACCCACCAACTGGGCGGTGTGACATGTGTTTTCGCTGACATTTTTAACTCAGGTATGGCCTAGACAGCGATGACAATCTGGGCGAGTGGGCATGGTGGTATCGTATCCCAAAACGTTCGTAGTGGGGAGTCTAGGGCGTTGGACGCCATCATGTCACCAAGAGGACGTGAACAATGAAGACATCTCTACGCCAATACTCACCACGACACAAAGTACTTGATGACATTGAGATGAGAACTGAGGCGAGAGGGGAAAATGAGGGCGCGGGTGAAGCCGAGGGTGGCCACGAGGGCAATGATGGAGGTTGAGAAACGCATCGTGGTGGTCGAGTTGTTTGATAGGGGGTTTAGGTGGTAGTTGCAGCTGAGAGGAACAGTAACACGATGGGCCAGGAAGAAGGCAAATGTGGAATGATCTGAGCGAAGGTATTCGGGAGGATGAGACGCCATGGCTGGTGTCTCTACTGCTTGATTCACTTCAGATAGTGAATTTATGGGGTGGATGTGTCAGATATCTAGAAGTCGGAGATTTTTCTTCTGGTGAATGATGCTGAATTCACCGTCCAATACATGAAGACCAAGAAGGGAGATGAAATACACATGACTCGGCAGCAGCCATGTTCAATTGATGCTATGGTACTATCAGTGTCAAAATACCACATTCTACCTTTTGAACCCAGTTGATTCGCTGTATCTACCTCCGCTCCATGCCCATACCAATGTGGATCAGACCCCAAATTCTCAGAAATCCCATGTCTCCTCCCCGCACTCTCCTACTTTGTTGTCTCACTTGCCATTGCCATAGACAGTGCAATGGAACACTCCGTCCGAGCATTGGTCAAACGACAGCGCGCCGCTATCCGACCTGAAAGTATACGCCTTTCCTGCGCAATCCTTGAACCAGTCGTGAGGGCTAGTCGCGTCTCGATTTGGGTTCCCGCAGCCACCGAATTTATCCTCCAAGGGGCATTTTGTGCTGCCGGCCCAGAGGTTCGTCTTGCATCCAGAGCCCTTTCCACCCGGGCTTGGACACTCGCACATGATGGGGTATGTGAAGCCAGCTACGTAGGATACGTCAAGGGAGACCTTATCGACAGTTCCGCTGCCTGAGAAGGTGAAGTCGCTTTCGATTTGGCTGCGAGAGTCGGACTGATTGCCCCAGTCGTAGCGGTTGAAGAAGATAGCGTGGTTCTGACCATGCGTAAGGGTGTAGCTGTCAGAGGCGCCGGCGGCCATGGTACCTTGAGCTCCGGGCCTTCCCTCGGTGTGGAGGGCGACTCCAGCGGCATTGGTGACGTAGACGGTCATCGCCGTGAGGGTGGAGGATGACGTCTGTCTGGCCTTGATCGGAACCAGGGCAGTCTTCTCACTGACAGTGGCAGCAGTCGCAATGAAGTCCTCGGTCTTATGAGTGATGCTCGGGGCTGGGGAAGGGGGAACTGAGACCATCTTCGGGTGTCTGGAACGGCGGGAAGGCTCGGCGGCGGAAGGGACTGCCGCGGCGTGAGATAGGCCAACAACGGTGGCCAGAGCAATGATGCCAACGGAAAACTTCATCTTGGCGAAGGTTGGCTTGGTGAAGGTTAGATTGGAGTGGGTAGAGGAATATATAGAGGGGAAAAAAAAAAAGTGTTCGATTTCTGTGATTGTGGTGGTTTGGGGTCGACAAGGAAGAAACCGAAGGTTGGATAGGAAGTGTGGTAAACGGTGTGAAGGAAGTAGAGTTATAGGGAGGGAGCTGCCCTCAATATATATCCAAGAGACGTCTGATCTTCCTCGCCAGGCGAGCCCAACACACAGGCAAGCTGGCCTACTGTTGGAGCTCTGAGGCAGTCAAGCCGGATTGTGTTTTGTTGAGCCGCTTCACCTGAACATCCTCGGGCTCAGAACTCTTCTAACGGTGCCGATCTCTCGGATCCAATTTCTCATGTGAACAATTTCTGCGCCAGACTGGCTGAAGGAGGAGAACGGATGTCAACTCTGGTTGGTGGCTTCATCCAGTCTGTTCAAAGAGATGCGGAGCCAAGATGGGTGTAGTGAAAGCACTGTATTGCAAGACATAAAGTTACGAAATACCACACCACACAATCCTCACCGCATACCCCGGTCCTCTCTTCTTTCCCACTGAAACATCAAGACAAATCACCCTATGACGTCCAGCTCACCCACCTGTCAAACACCAACGGAGGCTCAAGGATGAAACCCTCCCAAAATATCACAAGTCACAATCCCCGACTGATACTCCCCATTGGAATTCGCCGCATGATTCTCCACAAACGTATACGCCAAATCCTCACAAGGCTTCAAAAACGCAATCGAAGTGTGGTTCCCAATCTGGTCATTGTCCCACATCGGGTTCCTGCAGCTCCCCTGCTGATTGTACAGGTCGGCCGGGCAAGTTCCCAGCGTCCACAAGTTCTTCGCGCAGCCGCTGAGATACGCACCGCCGCTATTTCCGCAGTAGCACATGATGGGCATGATGTAGCCGTTGACGAAGGAAACGTCCACATCGAGGATGGCGAACTCGGTGGTGATTGTGCTTTGGACGTGGAAGGAACCTTCTATCAGGCCCTCGTCGTTTTGGATCTTGCGACTGGCTTGGTTGAAGGCGATCTGGCCGGCCCATCCGGTGGGGGCAATCTTAGTGCCGGTGGCGCCCCTGGCGAGGGTTCCGGTCGGGCTGTCGTTGATGAAGCCGGGGGCGCCGGCGTTGTGGTTGACGGTGGTGGTGAGGTCGACGCCGGCTTTGTTGACGAGGCGGATAGTGATGGAAGCGGGGGGTGAGGTGAGAGCGTGAATCTTGGTGTTAACGATGAAATCAGGGGTTGGGTCTAGGGCGCCTCCTTCGCCGCTGGGAAGGAGGACGGTTGCGGTGTCTGCAGATGTGGCGGTACTAGCTACGGTTGCCATGGGGGACGCCAAATGGGTTGTCTTGGTGATGATGACCCCAGCCTCGCAGAGGGTGAGGAGCGTGGCCATGACGGCGATGAAGAGCTTCATTGTGAAGAGATGGGTGTCTTTGAGCAAGAGAGACTGAGATTGCTGATGTGAGAAAGAATAACCAGTACTGATGCTG